TCCACACAACACACACACAAACATACACACATACAAGACACACACATAGTCACATGGTACAAAGACAGAGGTGTCAATGAGTCTCAAAACCACGAGCTACAAGAAGCTTCACATCACAGTTCGTTATTCACAGCCACTTCCTTCTTCCTCCACTTCAAACAAAGGGTGAGTAACTCACAACAAACCATAGGCTAATCAGTTGTATTTACACATAAATGCAAGTTTAGTTTTTAGTAAGAGTTTTACGGCACTTGAAACACAGTAAGTTCATAGAAGTGCCGAAGATAAGAGGTGTTACAAGAGAGTATCAAACACAAAAAAAGGAGGAGAGATAAGGACAATAGATGTTAGACAGAAAAGAAGGAGCAAACCACACCAGAGCACCCACCAACCACCCACTTACACAGGGTATGCATGCTTCTCACTTATCATTAAGAAAGACTCGTATAACCCTATATTTTCAATCAACAAACAAGAACATATATCAGTGAAAAATAAAAAACTTCAAAAGAGAAAACTACAGCTTTGTAAGAAAAAAACACTTTTTTTCTTTAAATGCATGGGGGGGGTTACCTGCCTCCCTGTCAACACAATCTATATCATTTAGGAAGCAGGTTTCTAAACCTGCCTGTTAAAGCCAACTCATGCTGAGAAAAACTCAACATCCCAGCACAAAGACCGAGAAACCCGATCAAACTTACTTTTCTCCCCACTCTGGCATCAAACTTCACAGTTTTCTGTGTGCAAAAAGTGCTTATCTGCAGTAAGCTGACAAATTCCCTTTTTATTCAAATTCTTGGCTTCAAATTTTTTTATTTGTTAAATCAAAAGCCTGATCAGTTACCCTAATAGTGTGAAAAAAAAAATTAAAGTGAAACCATGACTAGTCTTTTTAATATATTAGAATTCAAATTTCCGAAGAGTGCCTTTTTTAAACATTATACTGATAAAAAGCCTCTTTATCTCGAAAATGCTGTGAATAAAAAAAACTTGGGCGCATTGTCAGCTCATAGTAGTCATGTCCCAATGTCCTAATCACAATGTACTGAGCATCCTCTTCATCTTTTAAATACACATCATCCTAAGAAAAATGCTGAGCTTGGTTCAAGCCTGAATATACTTCTGTTTTTGATTTAAGTAAACGTTTTACAACACTGGCAACATGATAAAAAAAGGCATACAACAGCCGAAAATTAAAGACATTACTAGAAAAAGAGGAGAGACATTTGATAGGAAAGAAAGAGTAACCACACTACAGCACTCGCCAACCACCAACACAAATATGCTACATATTATTATGTGCCGAAGATTAGATTAACATACAGAGAAAAGGAGGAGGGATTTTTATAGATATCTGAGGGGAAGGAGAAAGCAAAGGAGCAAACCAAACCCGCAAGCTGGTCAACACCTTTCACTCCTTCCCTTCATCCCCAATACAACAAATCAATACTGTCAACACCTTTCACTCCTTCCCTTCGTCCCCAATACAACAAATCAATACTGTCAACACCTTTCACTCCTTCCCTTCATCCCCAATACAACAAATCAATACTGTCAACACCTTTCACTCCTTCCCTTCGTCCCCAATACAACAAATCAATACTGTCAACACCTTTCACTCCTTCCCTTCATCCCCAATACAACAAATCAATACTGTCAATACCTTTCACTCCTTCCCTTCATCCCCAATACAACAAATCAATATTGTCAACACCTTTCACTCCTTCCCTTCATCCCCAATACAACAAATCAATATTGTCAACACCTTTCACTCCTTCCCTTCGTCCCCAATACAACAAATCAATATTGTCAACACCTTTCACTCCTTCCCTTCATCCCCAATACAACAAATCAATACTGTCAATACCTTTCACTCCTTCCCTTCATCCCCAATACAACAAATCAATATTGTCAACACCTTTCACTCCTTCCCTTCGTCCCCAATACAACAAATCAATATTGTCAACACCTTTCACTCCTTCCCTTCATCCCCAATACAACAAATCAATATTGTCAACACCTTTCACTCCTTCCCTTCATCCCCAATACAACAAATCAATATTGTCAATACCTTTCACTCCTTCCCTTCATCCCCAATACAACAAATCAATATTGTCAATACCTTTCACTCCTTCCCTTCATCCCCAATACAACAAAACATTACTACTGACAAAGCCTCCCCCCCCCCCCTCAAGCACTGACACACACACAGAACAGTGGACTGACAGACTCACCCCATAGCTTTTGTTGCCCATCTCCTGCCGAACGTGGTGGATGAGATGTCCGTTGACATACAGCATGTCAGTGGCCAGCCTCGAGTCCATCTGCATCACGTGGTATGGGTAGTTGGCCACGTCTTGCATTTGCTGGAATACCCAGGGAGAAAAGGATAAAGGATTTATAAAAATACCAACTAAACCTATAGCATATGGATTATTTCGCATATATATAGTAAAACATTCTCTAATGACTTCAAAGGAACCGGCTCTCTTCTGCCCATTAGGCAATTCTTATCAGGTTGATTTGTTTTGTTTTTTTTATTTTGGGCTGAACGCATTTTAAGATATGAAAAAACACATTTCTAAGAGAATTTTACTGAAAATCGTTGATCACAAACATAAAAATTGTAAATTTACAGTTTTCAAGGATACTTAAGCTTTGAAAGTCACAAAACTTTGACGACCATTTTCTCGTTAGATTTACTTCTGGCACCGGATGACCCCCACCTCCTTCAATCACAAACATCTCAACTTCTTCTTTTTTTTTGACATCAAAAGCAAGGCCAATAGACTTTACAAGCTTTAATTTGGTAGAAATAACTTCATTATATACCCAAAAATTGATGAGCGCCTGACTCCATCATGCTGCGACACAAACAAGCTGTAATAGGCTAATACACAAGCAGTTATAATATATATCTCAAGCTTATACCTGGAGCACGGCTTGAACATCAGGGCCCGGTGCCACTGCCATGACATTTCTGCCGGCCATGTTGAAAACATCCTTCAGGTGCAGAGCCTCGCAGTTTCCAAAGTTGACCTTTGACACGGCGTACTCGGGGAATGCTTCAGCCACCGCCTGTGCCCCTGCCTCATTGGTTCGCTTGCCAACACCAACAAAAATCTCTTTGCCTTGGGATAAAAAAAAGATAACCAGTTGAACATATTGTTATGATATTGTAGTTATGATAATGTAGTCATGAATTTGCAAAATCAAATTGAAACTACAAAATCTGAATCAACATCAATCTGTAAGTAATAACATTAATCCCCCCCCCCCCCTCCTTCCATGTCAATTATCTGGGCTGGCAACCGTAGTCGCAGCCCCCTCCTCCCTCCCCAAGGCCACAGTAGTCATGCCCCCAACCATACATAAATCTGACCTAGCTAGCAATGGAATAGAGTAAAAGCATGAATGAATATATACTAAACAGTCAAGTAAACGTGAAAAAGTTATCATAAAACCTACAAACAATCAAATAATGGACGACACTGGCTTGTAGGTAATTCTTTACTTTCATCATTTAACACCACTATAACAGAAAATCAAAAATTTTTAATAATTACGCCATAAACATTTGCCAAAAGAAAAGGAAACTCACTGAAAACTATAATCCCATTGACTAACTAAATTTGATATGGATGATCTTTTAATTAATTTTAAGTCTTGTAAAAGAACGCCAATTTAGAAACTTTCTGACATTTGTTGTTGTTGTTGTTGTTTTCGATCCAGCAACAGCTGGGCTCTCGCCCTTCTGTCCAATGCCATGTAGAGATAAGTGCAGGTTTGCTGCAGTTGCTGTAATGTTCCATAGAGTGTGTTGTCAATGTTAGGTCACGGAGGGAGAAGGGTACTACCTAGCTCTGATGTCATTTAGGGCTGTGCAGTGGAACAGGTGATGCTCCACTGTCTCATATGCATAGTCACACAAGGGACACATTGGGGGAAGTTCCGGGTTTATTCTGTTCAGGTGGAAGTTGACCTGTTCTGACATTTAATATTATATGATCTGTTGGTGACATCCACATTAATCATCAATGTTTCTGTCAAAACAGGTAGATATATATACAACTCACCAGTGAACAGAACATCTCCACCATCTAGGGTTGCCTTCGCATTTCCAATTTCAACAACATTCATACGCAAATCTCCTTTCAACACTTTCCTGATTTCACCTACCTGAAAAACAAAAAAAAAGTCAACATCAGCGACTTAAAAAAAATACACAGAAATACTGAAAAAAATTATGCTGCGTAAAATTAAAACTATAATTAATTAATTCACTTTACAGGGGTCACCAGTTCTGTATTAAAATCACAGTTTAATTATAGCAACCACTAACTTTTATTAACAGTTTTAGTCTTAGCCCAGGAAATTTAGAATCGTCTTGTTCTGATCCATTTCCAGCAGGAGAGTCAAGAGTAAAGAAAAATGTGTAACGACGCTGTGGAATCAGGTCTGTCAATTTTTAGGCACGACATGGTGTTATTGGTGTCGCTTTTTAAAGCTTGTTACATTAGCCTTGCTTTTGATATACAAAATACCCATTTATCTTGAATGCAAATCCGAGATATTTGCAATTGAAGGAGGTCAGGGTTGTCTGGTTTCAGAGGTAAAATTAGTGAGAAAATGGCAGCCAAAGTTTGAAAACTTCCAGAGCTGAGAATCCTTGGAAACTGAAAGTTCACATTGTGTGTGCTTTTTTAAATCAATGTTTTTCAGTAGAATACACATACACAATTTAATTGTGTTTTTAAATGTACATAAAAGGGGTTGAGCCTACAAAACAAAACAAAATAAATCCATATGGCCCAAAAAATGCCAATTTCTTTGATTTCATTATTTTGGCGAGCGCCTGATTTCACCACGCTGCCTCACAAATAGATTGCACACAGTGTAACGCTGCAAAACAGCGTCAGTGAAGGGTGGGGTTTCAACTTAAAATATTAAGTTAGTTAATTAAATTAGCTTAGATCAGGGCTCCCCTTTAAGCACAAATGTGCGTATTACGCATTAAACCTGCAGATTACACGTTTCAAGTTTTGGTGGTGCGTGAGCTTTACTGTTTATAATTTCATTTCGGAGGTTTGTATATATGCTTTAAAATGTAGGTGGTGTGCGTCTGGCAGGCATCATTTTGGCCCTTCTCTATCCTGAAGCAGAGTCATTGATTTGACAACGCACTCACTCACATGCACGACAGTCATCTTCTGTGTCAGAAAAAGTCGACTAGTCGACTTACTTATTTATCAGCTGCGCGCATTTTCCGGCAACACCGGCCGGCTTCAGCATAAAAAGCTCAGCCTACATTCTGGTGGCTCACATTTGCCAGTGTCGTGCCGTGAGTTTACCCCTACTGTGAGATTACACCCATCCTTCTTTAACACACTAGTAGTAAACATGAATTGTCTGCCACCGAAAGTGTGGAAAGACTGAAATGTGAACCCTGGGATGGCTCTGAAGAACAATGAATCAGTTTATTTTCCACCAAATCTGCCACTCATCCCTGCTTTAAATCTCAAGCATCCCGATTTATCCGATTTGGATCGTGTGTACCCCGATATTTTTTTGGGGGGGGGGGGTTTTATCCGCCTGTTGCACCCGATTTTTCTAAAATCTTACTCTGTCTTCTTTTCTGTCGTGGGAAGCACTTCCTTTTAAATTAAACCTTTTGTCAGCAGAAACTCGGAGCACTATTTTCCTAAAAGTCTATGTCGAATTTTGTACGTTGACTCACCAAAAGTTGAGTTGGATCTTTGCTCAACGTATTATTTCAAAGAGTAACTATAATGGAAGTAGTATTGATTCGGCATTCCGACTTTTAAGACATTCTCAAGATCTACTAAATGCCTAAACATGCTTTGTCCGAGTTCTGGTTAGTCGTCAGTAAAACTTCCAATCGTGCGCTTGCACACGTAACAGGACTTCGGCACGTGAGTTCCACAGGCGTGTGTCGGGGATCGTCCGTTGACGTGGTCAATTTAAGTTCATGCGCACCGGTTGAAGCGTCTTTCAGGACTTATCCGGGGGGAAGAGGGGGCATGTAAAACACTTGGACTAGGAGAGCTTGACGTGATATTTCAGGATTTTTTAAAAACTGATAAAACACACATGCACGCTCAGACACACACACACACTGCGTGTGCACAGACACTCATACACCACACACACGCGCACACAAAGGGAATACACGTGGATTTAATAAAATAATGGATACTCCTGGAAATTTTTTCAGTTAACTTGGCAGTGACCTTTTAAGTGATTTGTCGTTGATCTCGATTTTTTTCACCAGACTTTTAGATTTCATAGAGTGGCAGGTCTATTTTTCTTGGTGTATTAAACCCCTTTTGGTTTGTCAACTTATATTTATTGTATTTTTGAGGCCCAACTGCTCAACCACCACCACTCCCCCCCCCTCCCAATAGATACACAACTCTAATTCTAGTCAATATTACTTATTTATTTCTTAAGTTTTAAATAAAAATCGTAAGCATTCAATTATAGTCATGGTCACTGAGTCACTCTGTGTGTGTCTGTAAGCTGTGTGAATGTGCATGTATAATGTGAGTTTTACAAGCAAAAAATCTTACCATAAAATTATGAATTTTACCCTTTAAGTTTCTAAAACAAGAGTGTAAAATACCCCTTAACTTTTTAAGATAGTAAACCAAAGCGGAGTGATTATTCTCATCCGGGGTGAGGATAAACTGGATATTGTATTCTCACCCGGGGTGAGAATAAAATTGATACTATTCTCACCCGGGGTGAGAATAAAATTGATACTATTCTCACCCCGGGTGAGAATAAATTGAGATCTAGATCTAGACTCTAGATCTAGATCTAGATTCTACTAGATCTACTCTCACCCCGGGTGAGAATAAACGACGACCGTCTACTCTCACCCGTTTTTTTGTTGTTTTGAGCATCATAGGACCCCTGTCACTGAGCGCTCCAGGTGACAAAACTCGCCTCCCTCTCTCACTCCGCTGAGCGCAGGAGGCAGCGAAAATCGCCAACGGGCGGGCCAGCTCTCGAGAGCGGGAGGCGACTATTGTCGATTTGGGGGAAAACTTATCTTTTGAGCATATAGCGTCACTTTTTGAAGCTATTTATTGGTTCTGTTATGGAGAATTTTACTCTTGAATAGTTTTTAAACAACCAATCAAAATTAAGAAATAACGACCGACGACAGCCAAACGAAAGGAAGAAGGAACCTCTAAAAGTTGGCCTGAAAAGGGGAGCCCTGCTAGATTCTAGATCTCTAGATTTTTCTAGATTCTAGCTAGAATCTAGATCTAGATCTAGATCTAGAATCTAGATATCTAGTAGGGCTATTTTCACTTTGTGACAGTGTGAGTGACAGTCATTGACTCATTTTGTCAAATTTTGATTTTTGATTCCTTTCACTTTCAGCACCTCTAGATTCTAGACCTAGATCTAGACCACTACATGAACATTTACAGTAAGTACCAGGTACAATAATGAACTATGTGAAGGTGTAGATCTAGATCTAGAAATCTAGTAATCTTTAGACTTACTTCTCCTTGTCTTGAACTGTGTCCAGGCCGGGCTATCAACGCCGTGTTTCCTATGACCACTGCGGTGTCATCCACGAAACAGCAGTCGGGGTAGCTTTCATCTTCGACAAGTTCAATGATGTTGATATCACAATTTTTCAAAACTTCCCTGATCGTCTCATACTCTTGTCTCGCTTTCTCTACATCAACACCGTTTGGATAATTATCCGACCCAACGCTCCTGTTTTTCAGAGAGTTGGGCACACGGCAAATAATAGCGAAATTGTAGTGAAACGCCGACATGTTTACTTGCTTTGGGTTCTTCAATCTGCACTTCCGCGTTCGCAGGAGAGTGACTCGTTTTCGCACGGGAAACGCTCTATTGAAATAAAAATACTGGATTGGACAGGATTTATTTCGAGGATATGGGATTGGCTTCCGATAAGCCTACGTAAAGAGTAAAGAGGGAGAAGTTAATAGAGCGAGTGGGATTATTGGGATAGTCAGTCATGCGGGTGAACTCTAGTGAACAGTTGAGTGAATAATGAACAGTCATCAAACTGTATAGTAAACTTGTACCTGGAGAATCTTTGCTTGTTGTACTACACCCTATAATAGCCTAGTCTTCTATTAGTGAGCGCATGTGTGCGTCAAAACTGGAAAATCCGATGACAATACCACAGACGGCCAGAGATCTGCTGTTTAGGCGGATAGGTCGCGCGAATGACGAATGGGCAAGGAGTTGCGAATGGGTTGATTAGAAGATGAAACGTAATAAATTCCGGATATAGCAGTGAGGCAATGACGCGGATGTCGAAAGAAAGGCGGATACTATGCGATTAGCTAGGCCTAATGGACTAGCAAGCGAAAAGACTTGAGGCGAGGTCGAGCTTTTATAAAAATGGGATGTAGCATCGTCGAATACAAAATCGTTTAAAATTGCAACTAGCCTACATGTATCTCCCTTGAACTTTGAAGATAATACTCTAATAAGGTTGTTTTGGGGCTATTAGAGTTTGTGTGTGTGTGTGCGTGTGTGTGTTTGTGTGTGTGTGTGTGTGT